CCTCTCCTCCGCCTCTTGTCCTCCCTCCTCTCCTCCGCCTCTTGTCCATCGTATTTCCTGTCTACATCCCCCCCAAAACTTCCAGATCATGGGAACTGTAGTTCCAAAACCTAGAGGATGATTATCCCCCACATGGGAATAATGCAAAGAGAAATACCAGGAGTGACAATTCCATTAATATAAACATTTCTGATGTTGCACTCTCCATATTTACTGAAGCTCAGAATGTCCAATCGAATTGTGTCACAGCTCTGCCCCTTCTCTCCTGTCTCTTTATTTCTCACTCACCTATCAGCTCATTCAGTGCACCTGTCAGCCTCCCTCCTCATCAGCACAACTCCCCTCACCTGCCTCTATTTAAAGCCCTGCCTCTCAGTCACTCACTGCCAGATCATTGTCATGTCTACCCGTCTGTTTGGCTTGTCCTTTTCCCGGTTTCTCCGTCTGCCTGCCCTGCCTTGTCCTGCTGGATTTCCCCCTCATCTCTGTTGTGTTCCTGTAAGTTTCCTGTTCTGATTTCACTATTCATTAAATACCTGCTTCACTCTACTTCTGGTCTTGTCTGCATTTGAGTCCTCCACCACACCCCGTGACAAATTGTGGTACAGCTTCAGTTGTCTGTTTTCTTAAACACAAACTGGGGGCTTGAGTCCTAACCTTCCTCAACCCATGTGCAGCTACAGAAATAGACCATGTCTTTATCCTCGTTCATAGAATACTCTCTTTACAACAACAACAAAAAAGCACATTTATACATTTTGCATCCACATATGTGGGAAGCAGGCGTCTGTGTGACGTACATTTCTCTGAGTCAGGCGCACAATGGATTGTGGATTTGGAAGGACGCACAGGACACGCTTTTCTCTACTATGTTGTATTCAATTTACACATGTGGACATCAGAGGATCCAGCTCCCAAACTGGAACACAGCTGGAGTTAGCAGCTCTGACCGCGCTCCGCTAACCCCATTGTTGGGGCATCATCACTCAAGGATGGCCGATGTTTCATTCAGTGAGTTGGCAGAGGAGAACTATCTTCCTTTGCTCTGTTGGTATTGCACCATATTTTGGTTTGGCAGGGCAGCGACGCCGTCCACATTTGTAGTATTTGGTCTTTTATTTACGTCAAAGAAGCAGGTCTGAAATACTCCACTTCTTTTACAAACTCGGGCTTCAAGTGTTTGACTCTCCTGAATTCTTCCGTACTCTGTGTCCATCAGCGTTATTGTTTTTCCATGAACCCCTTCAAGAAGAATGACACAGTCAAACATAGGACTCCTCTCATCAGCTAGTTTCCATCCTCCGCTTGATGATCTGGAGGCTCTCATCCAGACATTAGCACCTCTATCTTCATGTGATTCTATTGATGCCAGTATGGATCCAAAGAACCATGAAAGGTTCTTATTCAAGCAGGTGTGCAATCATTGATGCTGATGAGACCAAACATCCTTTGCTTTGCACATGCCACCAAAAATCTGTCCAAGTGAGACCAAACATTTTTGCTCCTGACATTTAGCAGGGCTGTCTCTGAATGTGTGTAGCGTTTCCTAGTAAATGTCAGGACATTTTCCTGTTTCTTTTAGATCAAACGTATATGCAACAACAAATCACTTTAACATTTCACTTAATGTCCACATGACCAGATTTGGGGGAATTTTTTGGAGAAACCACCCAGCACACAGTATCAACAGCGTTGCATAGATTATAGACGGACTTATAACAAATCACTCTAAGATGGTCACAGCATGTTTAGCTGAGCAGAGAAAGCTGCGTATTTAGGAGCATGGTGCAGGGGTGTATTCACTAGAATTAGGAGGCAGAATTCACAAGTCGTTACGCTAGAACAGACCTGGTGAACAGACCTGTGTCGTCTCCAAGAGGGCAGAAATTGGCACAAGTAGCCAGTGTGAAATATAACCTTTTTATGACGCACGTGTTGTACAGTGATTTGATTGATTCACTGGACGATGCTCTGCAGGTCTCTGTGAACTGCTGCCGGTAACTGTGCGTGTTTTTAAATTGGAAAAGAGGCCTTTTGTTTATCCGACATGTTGCTGTGATTTCTAATTCAAATCAATTGTCTTTCCAGTAAAATCCGACAAGATGGCCAAGGCAGAGAAGGAGGAGGAGAAGCCGGAGGACCAAGTAAAGAACGTGGACCTGTTCGACCCTCTGTTTGATAGAGCTGAGCAGAAGAGCGTGAAGGTGGAATACGCAATCAGCGAGACTCCAGCCAAGGTGGAGAAAGAGATGGAGAAGGAGACACAGAAAGAGAAGGAGAAAGAGGCAGAGACACAGAAGGAGAAGGAGAAAGAGGCAGAGACACAGAAGGAGAAGGAGAAAGAGGCAGAGACACGGAAGGAGAAAGAGGCAGAGAAGGAGAAGGAGACAGAGATGAAGGATGCAGGGAAAGTTAAAGAGGAGAAAGAGATGGACAAAGTGAAGGTGACGGAGAAACAGACAGAGAAGGTGGATGAAAAGAAGGAGACAGAAAAGGAAAAAGAGAAAGTTGAGTCAATTCAGCAGAAGGCGGAAATGAACAAGGTAGAAGAATCACAGGATAAATTGGCAAAGACGGAGAAAGTAGTAAAAGTGGAGAAAACCGAGGATGTGGGAAAAGTGGACAAAAATGAAAAGTCCACAGTGCACGACAAAACGGAAAACACTGAGAAGCTTGAGAAAACAGAGATGAAGGATGGCAAAGAGCAGCACATGGACAAAGCGGAGAAGACCCCGGAGCAGCAGCCGACACTCGTCAAGCTAGATACCAGTTCTGACAGGCTGGAGAAGAAGGCCGACACGGAGACAAAGGCGACACCAGACGTGGGAGACGCCAAGAAAGAGAAGGCCGATGCAGACAAAGCCAAGGCAGCGGAGAAAGAGCCCAAGAAGCCGGCGGAGAAGGGTGATAAGGAGGAGAAGCAGGACAAAGTGCAGGCCAACAAAAAGATTGTGGAGAAAAAGGACGACAAGAAGGACAAGGCTGCAAGAGCAGACGGAGGAGAGAAGGCCAAAAAAGCAAAACCTGCAACCAATGGAAGCAGCGCCCCACTGAGCAGGGACCTGGCAAGTGCAGACAGGAAGACAAAGGTAGGAGTTGTTGTAAGCTACGGGATGTTTCTCCTTACACACTGACACACTGATAGGATCCATAGACTCTATACTGAACACAGACTCGTGCCCATTTCCCACCTGGAAATCAAGGTAAGTTAATAGGGTTTTATTTGTTATGGCGAGCAGTATTGTAGGACCAGTTTTAATATCTATTGTTCTAAAGGGACACACTGAGGTACGGCCTAGTTTGATCTTCAATAGACCATCAACATTTGACACTTCGTACATCTCTTGCTCGGATGGATTGCCGAACGGGCTTACCGGGCACACGCCCAAGGGCTCAGTGGTCCCCCTAGCCAACTATAAAATGTATACTTGGTATGTTATACTCGTACCAAGAGACTCAAAATGACTTCAAATAGACAAAACAACCACAATGATCAGAAAATGACAACAAAGAGACTCAAAATGAAACCACCTCAGATATCGCCTTGATCGAGGGATATAGCTGAAATGATTTGGGTTTTGATATGCTGATACATTTTGAAGGTTTAAATGGCAGAAAAAGACATTCTTGACGCATGCCGCTAAAGCTTCGTCTGCTGCTTCCTTTATGCCGAATGCATATAAGTACAAAAACACCTTGTTCAGCTATTTCATGTTACGTATATTCACATTTATAACGTATACATTAAACAATAGAAGCAATACTAATTATTAGTGTCATTCCGTGTCAAATCAGGAGGTGGTTACAGTTGACATTTTTTGCAAATCTCATGTATATGCTGAAAAGTTCTGTAAAATATTTTGGTTGAATTTTGAGAATTGCCGTGTTTTGCTACTGTTTCAGGCAAGAATCCTTTTCTTTCTTTTCTTTCTCTCCAGACACAGTTACTACTGCAGTTAAATGTGGTTGGGGTACAGTCAAAATGATTTAAAGGCACAGATACGAGGCCGACTCTACATGACTGAGTCGCAAAAAAATATGCAATTCTTAAAATAAAAACAAGTATTTAACAGAAACTTATTGTTTGCGCTCAAACAGCATATGCATAAGGTTTGAACAACATCACAAATATAAACAAAAATGTAATTTGACACAGAAAGAGCCATATGATTTCTACTTTAATGCTGCTTAACCTCCCGGCGTTATCATCCGTTTTCCTTATTCTTTTGCCTTCCTTTGCTTTCCCTCCTCGTTTTGCTCTCCATCGCTCCTGAATGTTTTGGCCCTGCGTCGCAGCCGGCTGCCGGGGCGAACAAACCGAGCGCTGCTGCTGCTAAAACACGTCTGGGAACTGCAACTGCCGGTGGCTCGCTCACGGCTCCTACTAAGCGCCCCGCGTCCTCCACCACCACCTCCATCTCAGACAAAAAAACAACCACAACCAAGGCCCCATCCACAGCCGCCGCTGGTCCAAAGCGGCCCTCCACCACTTACACCAGCCGCCCAGCATCATCCACCACCACTACCACTGCACGGGACGTCAGGCCCAAGGTAATGTTCTGCTGTCAGGACGTCCGTCAGAGGCCCATAATGGGTTTGGATGAAATGTGACCAAACAATGTTAAATGTCTAGCTTTTGATGATTTGGGACCCTCAAAAACTCTGTTTCCTGACCATCTGGTCTACGTGCCTTTTAGCGCGCACAGACTCACAGTAGTTTATCACAACTGTTAGATTCAAGGACCTCTTAGACTGTGGGGAAACCGCATGAGATCCAGCCTCTGCTACAAAGTCAGCTGGTTTCAATTGTAATCACAAGCATTTAATACTACAGAAGCTAAAACAATTGCATAGTAAAGTACATTATTTACAGTATCTATAAAATATGACCCGCGCCTCACCCCGAAAGCGTTACCACCCACACGGTGGAACAGGAGCAAGAGACAGAATCTTTCTCTGGCTCCCTCGTCACAGTTTGAAAACCCCTCCCATATTGTCCATCTTAGTTCCTATTGGCTAACTCCAGCTGGCTCCTCCTTCTCACGTCAGCCAGCTAGGACCCTGGCACGGGGCTGCTCCTTCTGCGCCCCCTGAAGTTGCCTGTCTAGAAATCTCTGTCTGTCCCTACGCCTACTCTTAAACATACTATATAAAGATAAGGATTTGCAACTTTTGGCAAAAACTTCACACGTTTTACAAGCATAGATGGTACACTCCAAGTACTTGCTATCATATTATTATCCACCTGTAAGAGGTGCTACTAATTCTACTAAGAAACACTTCTAACTATAAATTCTAAAACACTCCTATAATTATGACTAATTATGAATGCTTAAACACTTCTAATTATGACTAATTATGAATTCGTAAACACTTCTAATTATGATTTCTTAATTATGAATCATTAAACACTTCTATTATAATTTCTTAAGCACACTTCTAAACCTATATTTGCTACACAACACTTTGATGACTCTTGGTCAAAGGTTACAGCTTCAGGGTTTGCAGTCCAACCTCAGAAACACAGAGTGCTTCTTCTTTACAACAACTCGGACAGAAATAGATTCCACTTTCAAAAACACCATCGTTAACAATAGCTTTGTACGTTGTTGCTAATGACTTTATTAATAAATTGACCCTCCCCTCAAATGTAGCTTGGCCAATCATAGCGTAGCATCAGCCCGCTCTGACAAGGGTCCGACAACTATTTGGATCTGTTCCATAGACTCATGAGTGGACGTGGAGCTGGTCATGGTTAATTGTTGTGTAATAGTGATACTCGTTACCCGGAGAGGAGTGTTTCTATGTAGAAACCTGTGGAGCTAACATTAGCAGAGTATGTTAGCTCCATTAACTAGCATTAGCACTTCTATGCCGTGCTGGCCACTTAAGGTAAAGTGAATGTGTACACATGCTGCTTTATCTCTTTAATGATAACGGTGAACAAAGAGCTCCCTGCTTTACAGGAACACTGCTGTTCCTTCATGACGTTGTCTTCTGTCTGGATCAGCAGGTTCACTGCCACACTGTGATCTGTAGCTTTAGCTTCTGTCTTTATCTTTTCAACCTGTTTTCACTGATGCATCAGTTTGACATCCTGGATGTATCCTGTAGACCCTATTTAGTTTTTCCAAAAATGTAAATGTCTTCAGGTGCAGTTAGTGACAGTGTGGACTCTATGTTAGCTTTGACAGAGTAGCAGCGGGGGGCTATAATCCAAGAATATAATTTATGTTATTCTGAAATAGGACATTCTGTATCGTGATACTTTTACTTGAGTACAATTTTGAAAATAGGACTTTTACTCTGTAGTATTTAAAAGATCTGAGTATGTACGTCTGAGTACATGTTGTGTTGATTTTTCCCCTTAATGATTAATGATGTGGGTATTGAAACTTCCACAAACTGCTACCATGATCTTAAGATTTGACTTCCTGGTGGACTGGTGGTTAAGGGGTTCGTGCCATGCCAACCAGCTCCCCTGTGTTTCCTGTTTGTATTCACACTTCAAAGTCTCCAGTAAAGGTGAAAAATGGCTAAAAAGATTAGTTTTATTGGACCGCTGTGTGGGTCAACTGTTATGTCATGTTATACTTTGCCCAATGAGTCTATTGTCACATGATCAATATCATAATACTGAGGCTGCAGGCTGCAAGGATAGATCTCTAAAACTGGGCATTTTTGTCAGTACGTCCTCCTGACTTATTGATTACTTCATGTCACTAATTCATGTTCTGTGCTGTCAAAAGACTCGTCAGCCTTCTGTCACCCTCGTCCAGTGGCCTCCTTAACTGCAACACGCGTGAACTTCACAACCGCTAAAAATGAAGAGCCTTTATTTAGCCTCTCGCCGCCCGAGGCCACGGGGTGACTCAGTGCAGTGTGGCCGGGATGGCTCGGCTGTATGTGGAGCGTGGAGTCATCGTAGGGGTGATGAGGGGGGGAATATGGCGCTGAATGAAATGTGCAGTATTCAGGGAGCATCTAAATGTTACACGCAACAGGTCTTTGACCTGATTTTCTCAGTGCAGTCACTGATGACAGAAGCCATATATAAAGATGTATTATGACCCACTTTGGTGCTAACAGCATTTGATTCATTGATGGTGGTTTTTCCATCCTTTACCGCTGCTGACATTGCTCGCCATCACCCATCAATCTTTCTTTCCTCTCCTCACTTGACATATCCGGTATTTTTTTATTGTTCTTCCTCTCCAGACAACTACAGAGAGGCGCCCCCTTGTGCCAAAGGCCAGCACCACCACCTCAGCAGGCTCCACCGCTGCCACCAAAAATGGAACCGCATCAACAGCAGCCAGTAAAACTGCTACATCAGCACGCACGGCACTGTCTACTCGCACCGCTACCACCACTGCAGCCAGAAGGCCTCTGGGTAATGGCAGCCACTCACACACACACACACACACACACACACACACAAACATGCACGCAGATACGCCTGTGCACGTTTTTGATGCTTGGTATTTTTAGCTCTGTGCTTTTTATCCACACATGTTGCCCTCTGCAAAAACTACACCGCTCACCATCTGTGTTTCAGCCCCCAAGACAGACGGCAAACCGGGAGAGGAGAAGAAGCCCGGCGCTCTGAGGACTTCTACAGGTATCACAGCACTCTGTTCACCTGTCGGAATAACACAGAAACAGGTCACACTCAAAGGAAACTCTCAAACTCTACTATACACATAGCCGAATGAAAACCATAGATATTATATATACATATATATATATATATGT